TTATCTTCTTCCATATTGGCTGGTAAGATGAAGACGATGTATTCAAGATTACCACCACGAATGTTGCTATCCAGACTTTTACTGCATAGAATGGTACATTTTTCCAGGGAAATCCAATATTGTTAGCACCAGATGTCGAACTTCGTCAATGTCCAGGTCATACAGATCATGATCTCATAGTTGTTGTGAAAAATACAGACACTGGATGTGTTGTTGTTGCTGGTATGAGCATTCCTCTTCCATAGTTCTATTTTCACTTCCATTTTTTTGTAGGCGATATTTTTGAGAGTGAGAACGACACAGAAGAACGGAAAGCAGTATCAGCGTATCCAGAAAAGCAAGAGAAGAGCCGTGAAAAGATCCTTAGGCTAGCTGATTGGATCATTCCAGGACATGGGAATTTGTTCAAAAATATGTGTAAAAGTAGTTCTTCTGATAATGAGTAGTTGCCAAGAGATGGTGCTCTTTGAACAGATATTGTCAATATTAAGGCGGGTTTAACATTTTTTCTGTTCTTTGTTTGTTATTCTATTCTTATTATTTTTTCATTTCTTTTGATTTTACATTGCGAAACTCTTCATCTCTTTTTTTTAAATTCCAGAACTGAGAGTTGTGATCTGGCTTGATAGTTTATTTCCTAGCTTGCTTGACTTTTCGTTTGCGTTTGAAGTTTCCTACAGGTTTATATCTCTTATTCTCTATGAATCTTCAAAAGTGTACTTGTTTCAGCATTTTGCATTCGTTCATGTGTTTTTATCAAATTAACTGGCAATTTTGTAGTCTAATTTCTAAATAAGAAAGATTGTTTGGAGAATTGAAAGGAAATTTGGTGTTGAATATCTACCGTATATACCTTAACTTGGTGAAGAATCTAGTTGAACATCTACCGTATATACCTTATAAGAACCTAGAGACCTCAATTTGAACGTATACTTCTATTCAGGATGTCATGTCGTAGCGGCATACGTCTCTCTACTCTTATCAGAGGGACAGTCACAGTTTCAGAGGCTTTGTTAGGTAGCACAGCATCGTGTAGTTCGCAACGATTTCGAGGAGTAGTGCGTTCACAATCAAATCCATCTACACCGAATAGGAGACGAAGAATCACAGGTACGGAAGACTGAAACTTCTAATATGGCACTAAATCATTCTTAATCATTTCAAGGTGTACCAGCTGATCGAGGCGGCAGTGCAATTGAAGACCTTGTTGTGCCCCGAGCAGTGCAACCACCACGCACGACAGTAATCGGCTACGAACAATGGACAGAGGGGTTGGATTCGGTAAATGTGCTAATTTAAAGCATCAGTTTTACATTAAATAGATTTTTCGGCAGAAGTGCTAATTTAAACATTAATCTTACATTAATTAGATTTTTCGGAAGCTTTTCCCCAATGCTGGTGATTTTTTGGCCTTATAGT